AAAAAAAAAAAAAAAAAAAAAAAAAAAAAGGTTCTTTGTTTCAAAATAACCTTGTCTGTGTGCAAGAACAATTAGTACTCCTAATTATGATGATTAAGAAACCATTTCTGGTCAAAGAAATGGCCCAAGAAAAACTACCATACGGGACAGCAAATATGTGCTAAAATGGAAATGTGTGTTAAAATGGTTGAAAAGAGGGTCTTTGTAACAACAACAGTACTAAATTATAACCCAACAGTTAAAGCAAAGCTCCAACAACGGGAGCTACTTGTCCAACTCCTTGTATAAAAATATAAATCAGCAAATGATTAGCTAGAGAAGTGCAGACACCAGGCCTAGATAGTGCTAAGGGCCAAATGTAGTCATACCACTAACTGAGGGAAAGAACAAACAAGGCTTACTGAAAAAACATGGAGGGGAAAATAACCCCATAGAACCACACAAGCTAAAAGACGACTTCCACGTTTGACGATAATCTTGTGGAAAGGAGATTTATGAGCTGATAGCATGGTCACAATAAATCTGAACTGCCCCCATCTCACAAAGCTTGGGTTTCCACCTTCAGGTTGTCAAGTCTGCACTTTTGATCATTGACACTTTGCCTGACAAAGGGGTCCTGTGAGCCTCCGAAACGTTGCATTCACATGTCGTGCTAAAGGAATACGAATAAAGATGATATTACAAAGCAGAATGGTGTGCGGACAACATATCTTCTAAGTTGTGAAGTCAGTGACCAAGAAGCAGGAATAAAGATTGGACTTTGGGATGACAGATCTGGCCTGGAACTGGAACCCTAATTTGTAGAGATAAATGAAACATATTGATTCAGGGCCGAAATTTATCGCAGAGCCTTATTTTAGTGGAGGTGAGATAAGTGATTATCCTTAACCACCCATAACATTTACCAGGATGGCCATCAGCACATCAGTTAAATGTTACCCAACATTTAACTTCTCCTTCACAAAGTTTGCTGTAGAGGAGCTGTGAAAAGACTCTGAAAGGAATGGTGTGCTAGACAAGTCATTCATGTTCCTGTACCTGTTGATGCGCACATATTTAAAGTCTAATTTTAAGACTTGCAATTTTCATACAAAAAGATGGAGGAAAAAGCAATGACTAACAAATTTACATGGATGTTTCGCTGACGCAATAAGAGGTCAGATTGCACAATGATTAAATATAATCAGAGAAAGCAGAAATCCCCTTTATGGGACACAAAACACAGCTGACAACTTTTTCCAGACAGGGAGCTCCAAAGTTGCATTAGTCAACAGCCTCAGGGATACTAAGCAATGTGTTCACTGCATTGTATTAAACCAAGTACGCACTGCTAGTTCCATGTGGATTATGTTTGCAGACCTAGTTTACTTACATAAATGCATGAACTACCTAAACCGTGTAATTACTCACCTTACACCGAGGACATTTCTGGGCATTTCTTTGCCCATGTTCAATCTCATTGGCCCAGTGACGTAATAGCTTGTCCCCTTTCTTGTACTCTCTACAATTAACGCCTTCATGCCAGGGAGAATGGCACTTAAAACACCATACAAATTGGCAAGATGAGCACTGAACCTGCCAAGAGATAGAAAAAACAAAACCTGTAAATCTAAGTTAAGTCACCATAAGAGGGATAGACAGCAATTTATAATCATTATGTCCAAAAATTATGTTTCTACTATACTATAACTATGAACTTCATTACATCTAAAATGCTCTACACAAAACTATTTAAAGATCTTTTTATATACATTATATTTATATATAAGGAAGACAATATACACTTAGTAATACAACACAACCAAAATGGTTTCATTTTCATTAAAGTTGAAAATAAGCTTGCCGTTTTTATAAGATGCTGTCATATCTGTAAGATGCTGAAAATAAACTCAATGCGGAGGACAAAATAACACATGTGCGTACGCTCAGGAGTTGCATCATCAATGGCAGCCCAATGGACGAACAGGATGACAAAAGGACCTGAAAGAGGTGGAGGAGGTTGTGGCAGGGGAAGCAGCACTGACTAACTGCCTGGATCAGACACCATTAGAGGAGGGCACACTTGTAAGGTAGTGTGCCATAATGTGAAAATATGCGGAGCATACTTGCACATTAGGGCAATACTCAACCCAGCACACATCGGTTTAGTTTGGCTTTAATAATGCAGTTCTGCTGCTACGTCAATTGGGTCCAGAGCTTGATTTAAGAAACTTGGAGCAGAGTAGGGAAAAAAAAGTTCAGCTGCTTTGAACTACTAAATTCTTTGTTTCATTTTCCCAGGGGAATTAAACAGAAAACCTGTTTGGTTGTTTTGTTTCACCTCTTGCACTAGTTTTTATAAGGTTTGCTCTACTCATGCTGGGATAAATGTATACTGACTTAAGCAATACAAGTCTTACAGACCACAGAGCTGGAGCCATGTCCCTGCCATCCTCTCCAACTGGCCAGTCTCAATGCACACAGTCCTAGGACAAGAGGTAGCGGAGACATGACCCCAGCCATGGTGTCTATGAAACCTGCAGTGCTTACATCTAGAGTGGCCAGGAAATGCAGGGAGAGCTGTACTAATGTAGACATCTAAAAATAAACTGTTATGCAAGATATGGAAGAAAGACTGCATAATAGATGTTTGTCTATGATGCAAAGGAATGTTTTACTGCTGTAAACCTGATAGGGTTATTGTGCCCAGAGTTAAGTTTTAAAAATTTATTTCTTGGTGCACATTTAGTGCACCAAGAAAGAAATATGGATGCAGCAGTCATTGGCATGGCTAGATTGAAAAAGCCATTTGCTTAGTATGCTATAGCTGATATGGAGATCACATGATCAGGAACTATGCTGACTGGCTCCCGATCATCAGTGGAGGCCCAGAGTTACAGCAGGGTCTTATAGCTAAAGGCTCACAGTACTGCATGCTCCTGCTTGAAGCACATATTAATATTTCCACTACATGGTAATGGACAGGGGCTATGTTAATCTACAGATTGTAAATAGGATGGGGTTAAGGCTTCCATGACTAAGGAACATGAGCACCTTTAAAGGTCTTGCATTTACATCTGTTGCAAGTTTATAAACTTCATGTTTAATACAGAATCCCTTCATAACAAAGACTATATCCATGTTATGGTTCAAAGTTAAACAAACAAATGCAGCATTAAAATGAAATGTTCCAGTACAGAAATAAAACCTTGTAATAACCATGAACAATCTGAATATACGTTAGAGCGGTAGGTGGTATACTACACAGTTATCCAATTAACTCATTTATATTGCACTTTGTTCTTTTACTGTGTTTTGTAACTGCTCCACATATTTAAACCTTTCAACATGCTTATAATTAAGTCAATAGGTTGGTATGCTAAAATGAATGTGATCCCTTCATAATCCTAAAGGGAATGCGTTCAGTTTGGTTCTACAGAAAACAAAACTCAAATTTCAGGCCCATTTCATCTTGAAAACACGAGTGGCTACACAGGGCAGCTTTATCAAACTATTGAGGAATCCACATTAGTTCAGGATTTTGTGAATATGTGTCAAATCATGTGCTTTTTCCCCCCCTTTTATAGCTATACATACATTCTCTTTAAAATAACATCTGCTCTCAGAAAAGATGCATTTACGTTGGTAAGATCTATACAAAATAAACTGAAAGTATGATATAACTAGGTATACAGATGGTGTTTAAACCTGTGCAGAACCATTCAGCCTGTAATTAAACATTTTTTTGATAATTTCCAAGGCACATCCTCCGAAATTAAATAGCTGTTAATACCGCAGTAATCCGTGCCCTACTTTTAGGATCACTAATCTGAGTGTCATTGGCTACACATGCTCACTTTGAACCTGCTCTCAGAATTGGTCGGAGTTGGAATGTGACTCTTCCTTTTAAAGGCCGTAAAGTGCTTGCACTGCGGGCAGGGCTTGGTGCTGGAGTCAATGCGGCTAAGTTCCAGGAAGTACTTGTACTTGATGATATCATCATGTGGCAGGCTGTATAAGATAGTGGATTCATCCAGATGTTTATTGCACTCGGTTATGGGGCATTTAATCTCCACTTGTCCAAGTTGCACCTGTAAATATAATATAAACATTAGATGATGCTAAACACAAAATGTATGGTTTTGTCAACTGATTAGTATTTACACTGTAAAGATGAACTCCAGACAGATATTTAAAAAAAACAACTATTAATTCAGTTATGTATTTATCAATAAATAAGTTAATTTATTTTCAAAATGCAGCAAGTACCTGAATAGGACTGAATTTTGACTTTTTAGCATCATCTTGTAACCCCTCGTACAGCAGGTCTCAAACTAGAGGAGAGCGTGGCAAAATTAGGAGGCAATTCCTTGTGATGCATACACATGCATATACTTACCTGATCCCCCGCTTACCCAGCAGCCGACGCTCTCCTCTCGCCTTTCTCACCTACAATGAAGAGCTATGGGTTCTGCAATGCACTTGATTACATAAGCAGGCCTCCAACTGCCCAATCGTGGGGTTGGGGGAAAATGAAGAGGCTGCGGGTGCTGGTCCTGGAGCATGCGGGAGCGGGGATGAAGTAAGTAAAAGTCCTTTTCCCAGGTACCCAAGACCTTAAAGACTATTTAACTCTTGCAGTGTGGGGGCAGTCCCACTGCAAGGGGAGTTGTTTTCCCCCCAGGAACTCTGCTTTAAAGCAAAAGTCCAGTCAAAACTTTTTTTTCTAGTTTTACACAGATGAGAGAAGAGTTAGAATATCGGTCACTTTTTTTATTGCCATCAGTACCACCATTAAAGATTTAACCTCACTTCTTATCACAGAGATGGGGTGTAACAAGTAAAAGGATGTTATGGTATTACTTTCTGATGTGGGCATAGACAGTAGCAAAAGCACATTTATTTAGACGTGATAAAGGGTTAGAACAGCTGTCAGCTTGTATTGCTTTCTGTGTCTTCCGTTCCGATAACACCTGCACCATCTTATTTCTTCTCTTGGTCATTGGGACAAGAAGTGAGTGTAAATATCCCCATTGAGGAAAGAGATAGCAATAATAAAATAAAAAACAAGCGTTTTCACTCTTCCTATATTAACAACCAAAAACTATTGAACAAAGTGCTATAGCTTATAGTGAGTCTTTGGTTAGATAACCTTTAGTGTACAAATGATGCAAACCGATAGTAGCTGAAAATTGGTTTCTGTGGGTTAGTGTATATTACTTTGCAATATTTGATCAAGGTCAGCTCTAGGACCTGAGGTTTGTATTTGCAAAGAAATATGTAAACTGTGCAACAGCTTTTACAGCATGTTTACAAACCAACAGTAAAGGTCATTCAAATTTCTTATCAGATTGAGAACCATGCACCAATTGGTAGAATTCTATTGAACATCTCACAAAAATGCAAAGAAAATGTCATAATGGCATCAAAAACGTCTGGCAGTGCTGTATAAACTGAGTGGCCAGTTTATTATGACCGCCTGACGTTTGTAGGCAAATTAGCTATAAGTTCGCGCTGAAGTTGCTAGAGGGCCAGACCATTATAAATAAGGAAGAAGGTTGTTTACCACCACAGTAGAAGTGATTTTTTTCTGAAGATATGGGTAAACAACACGATTTAACAGCCTTTGAACGTGGGATGATTGTTGGCGCTCGGAGCCATGGAGCGAGTGTCAGCAAAACAGCAGAATTTGTTAAATGTTCAAGAGCAGCTGCTGTTAAAGTGTTTAAAGACTGGACTGTCAGCCAAAATTCTGGGTCTGAACTTGCGAATTGTGGCCGTCAGCGACTAGTCAATGTTAGGGCAGAACCGAGAGTGGCAAGACTGGTACAAGACAACAGAAGGGCAACAGTGCAGTGTCAGATTCCTCGCATCACCTTTCAACATCTCATGGAGTCATCTCGTGGCCCAACGAAGTACTGATGGGGTGGTCATAATAATCTGGCTACTCAGTGTATACATGGCCACTTAGGTTCCTGAGAACAAGGAAGAGACCTCATAGTAGGTGTATAAAGGAGAACAGGCAGGGCTACCCATATCAATGTTCAAACAGTTCTTAGTTCAGGTATTTTCTACAAAAGAACTTGAGGTTGCACCATCCCAGCTTTTCGGTGTACATGAAATACTGGTCACATTACATTACTTTTTAATACAGGACAAAACCCTGCTAGCTTTGTTTACAGCAGCCTGGCACTGCAAACTACCTTTCAGTTTGTGGTCTACACTGACCCCCAAATCCTTCTCCATATCTGACTTCCCCAGCGGCATACCCATAATTGTATAACCCATTTGTTTATTTTTAATTCCAAAGTGCATACACTAGCCAGTGTATGACAAACTTGTTTGTGAATCTTTCATATTCGTGTCTAGAAAGTATAACCCAGAAGGTTATGGTTAGAAGGGATACAATCAAACCAAAAAAAAAGCACTAAATGGCCAACTGAACATCAAGAACCACTGGTATATCGTACAGATCCAGCCTTATATGATAGATCAATTTATTCCAAACTGCATACAGCTCTTTCAGACTATTTAGCCATCATTAGTGCAGTGTACATAACCTACGGCATCTACAGAGGAATACACTGCACTTACGAAGGTCAAATAGCTTGAAACAGCTGCATGAAGTTTGGCATAAATAGTTGTTTAATAGTAGGCTACATCTCTACACCAGTGGGGTTTTTGTTATGTGTGGTTGGCCATTGGGGCAAAATTATTTGCATGGCTCCACCCACTATATTAAAATAAAGAATTATCCCTTTATTTTTGGAATATATGATGCAACAAGAGATATAAAAATGTTCTATTATAAAGAACGCTCGAAGGAACTATATTTATATCTAGAAATGTGATTAACATCTTTTACAGAGAAGCCGAAATCTACTCTTTATGTGACAGCTTTTTTATTTTATTTTACAAATGCTGTATCTTAATAATTAATAGACAAAGTGATGAAGTGAAGTTTCATCTATATAAAGACTTGCTGATTTCAGATACTAAAACTCGAATTCTAAAAATAGTGTCAATGTTATGTAACAGGACTGCATAGGTATGCATCTCTTAACATGTCATGTCAAATTATCATTACTTATTACCTGTCAGATGCAAATATCTACATGTTTGGTAATGTTAGAAAAACTAGTTTGGGTGGAATCTGATTTGCAAGGTTGAAATCCTGTTTACTTCCTACACCATTCTGACAAGAGAACCGACAAGTGAAAGAACTCTTAAAAAAACATGTTCATAAATTGTTCATAGCGTTGCCTCCGTTTCTGAAGGTGGAATTATCTGAAAATGAGCTAAATATGCCAAACTAGCCAACCATAAGAATTTGTTGGCTGTGTCCACCGTCCACCCCTGCTTTAAAGTTTAAAGAGTAAGTGCACTTTCAAAGAAGGTGCACTTATTATTTCTGCCTACCAGGCCAGTTGGTTATTCTTCAAAACATAAGTGGCCATGGATGTCTGCTGCTAACCAAGTCCTAAAACCACTGTGGGGGTTATCTTCAAATGCACACCTTGCAAAACAGGTAGTCCTGACTCTCAAGTGCTTCAGGGGTTTACTGCCCATGTTTATTCAACACTGTTTCATCAAACCAAACACAAAAACAAAAGATTCCCTTACAGGTGGTCTGGTCATCACAACAAAACATTCAGCCTCCTGGCCAACTAAGGCCTGGTTCACACCTGGGCGTTTTACAGCGAGTTCCTACACGGTGTAAAACGCTCAACGTGTGAAAACCTGGGAATACAGCGTACAGGTCTTACCTTGTCCGCGATCCCCGCTGTGTCTTCGGCGGCTGCCGACTTCCGGGTTCCGTCCCTTGCGAGCGGCCGCGTCGCAGGGGGGCGGAAACTTTAAAAGTGAAACTTTCAAAAAAAAAGTTTTTTTTTTTAAATATAGAAAATAAAGGGAAAAAAAACAAGAACAAAAAATCATACCGCCAGTGAAAGACAAATTTGGGTTGACTTATACCTTCAGGCTGTTCCAGCACAGCCTGCATGTAGTCTCTCTAACACCCATCGCCTACTCATCCCAGAGAAGTCTTTATTACCCAGATGTGAACAGTGCTTATAAGAGAGCTAGAGCCAAACCTTATTTTGGCTATAATTCTCTTATGGGTCACAGAAGTACATTTTTACTAATGTACTCATGTGACCCAAAGTCATTGCTATTGCCTGCGATATGCTGACAGCACAGAGCCGTGCTGCAGCCAGGAAGGATCCTGACAATATTGTCAGCATCCACCCTGCTGTCTGACAGCTGGCTCTGCCTCACTAGACCCAGAGCCAGCTGTGCCCGCCCCCTCCCCAGTCTGTCCCTTCAATGAGCGCTGGAGGAACAGAGAGGGGAGGAGGGAATCCCTGCGGGGAGCAGTGACCGACAATCACTGCTCTTTGCAGGGAGAAGAGCATGAGCTGAGTGATCAGCAGTTTGTGATCACTCAGCTATCGGTCTATAGAACCTGCATGTGACAGCTGCAGTATCACACACCAGCTTAAACTATTGCGAAGAGTATGTAGTGCTCCTTTAACCCCCGTGAATACGGTTATACAGCCCTGTCACTAGATAAAAAGGGTCCGTCTGTCACCCCAGCCAGATTTGTCAATTTTCTTATGTCAAATGTTAATAGTAAACATGTTATACTAAATAATGAAAGGATTAGAAATATAGAAAAAAGAACTGCATTGTAACTTCATAGAGTAAGCTAAATTGAATAAGGTAGATTTTACAAAAGGTCAAAACCTATCAGTGTTGACTACAGCTTAAACAGTGTTGTTGTTTAGCATTACCCAGCCTAGTAAGAACTGGTGTGGGCACAGGCAGGTAACTTGTGACCCACTGATGTCCTGCTTTAATCGGTTTAGCTTATGTTATATTGACATAATGAGTACGCCTAACAACTCCAACCTGAAGTATCGTCCTCTGTACAACCTGACACGGAGCAGCAGAGGTTTAAAAGCTTAGTCATTCTTAATTACATTAGATGCAAATGCACAAAACGGGATCAGCGCCAGCTAGCGTAGCACACAAACCAATCCAATGAATGGAGAATCTAATTATTCAGTATATTATAAATAGACAAATTATG